ATGCGTTTTTTATTTTATTTTTTTTTGTTTTAAAATAAATATTTATTTAACTCTTTCTTTATGTTTTTACATTTTATTGATTTTTTATCCCCATTTTTTGCCTATAAATACACTTGAAATTGTCACTTTTCTTGCACCAAAAAATTTTTCACTTCTCTTTACACCATAAAATTTAGCAGTAATTCATTTGCCTAAAAAAAATGGATCCGAATAATAGGCAAAATTTTCAAAATTTCTCAAGTTCTAATCCTAGCAATCCAGATGAAATTCCATTCTTCCAAAATTCACAAACTCCTTATCCTGCACAATTTTTCCCACAATTCCCATCAAAATTTTCCATTTATGCAACAACAATCCCAAAATTATCCAAATTCCACCAATATTCAATATTCACAATATCCTCCACAAGTTTTATTTCAAAACCCGCCACCTGAATATTGGCAATACATGAGTAGTCAAAATATGGTGCAATCTTCTCCGCAACAATCGAGTCAATCTTCTGGATCCCAAAGGAGGAAAGAATTCGATACTCAAACTTCCGTTCCAGAAACACAATTCCAGGATTGTGAAGCAACTATTAATGTTGAAATCCCAAAAAATACACGTGTTGCTACTGAAGGCCGGAAAAAACGTCCACAATGGACAAAGGAAGAGGATGTGTAATTGGCAAAAGCTTATGTGACAATAAGTGACGATCCAATTACCGGTAATGATCAGAAGGCCGACGCGTTTTGGGTACGTGTTGCAAATTATTATAACGAAAATAGACCTTCTAATTATATTCACAGAAATGCTAATATAATAAGATCTCACTGGCATAATACGATTCAAAAAAAGGTGTGTCGATTCAATGGGTGCTATAACAGTATCTACAGTGATGTGGCCGATAGTAATGGCTCGTGAGGAACCGGTCGTGACCCGATCATCATTGTCAGTATGGAGGAGACCGGCTAAGCATTATGGTCATCGGGCGGTTGGGAGTGCTCAATGTCGCATGGTGTTCGGCGCCCCTCAAGTGCTCGGCATTGGAGGTGGCCGGGATGAAGTGACTGGCGCGGCATCATCCGACATGGCGAGTGCTCGGCGTGGGTGAGTGCTCGGCGCGAGGCCTCCAGCGGGTGCTCGGTCTTGGGAGGTGCCCGGTGGCCTTATGTGTTCGGCGGCCCTCATAGGCCGTCGAGGGGGCTAGAACCCGAAGATGGCTTTGGGATCAAGTTACGAAGGAGTTAGTCGCAACAAGGACTCTCGGGATTCAGAAGACCTTTTACTTAATTAAGAGTTTGATATGGAGAAGACTTCTTATTCCACTGGGATTCTCCAAATTTCTCCTATAAAAGGGAGCAGGTTCATTCATTTTACACAACACACATTCACGAACTATCTCGTTACTCTTCCGTTTTCTCTATAGACCATCACTGACTTGAGCGTCGGAGTGTTCGCACCGGGACCACCCCCGGCGTGCTTTGCAGGTACCGACGATCAAGGAGACGCAACCCGGTTCGAGAGGAGCGGTCCAGCGGTTCGAGTGTTTGTGGTATAACATACAGTGTTTATCGAAGTGGTTGTAGTGATGAGGATATATTAAGTCGGGCTTACGAAAAATATCGTATTGAGAATGATGGTGTTGCTTTCAATCTTGAGCATGTATGGAGAATCCTTAAAGATCGTCCTATGTACACCCCACAGTGTTCTAATGATATTTTTGTTGAGAGAAAAAAGACGAGAATTGATGAGTCTGGTGCTAGTAATACTTCATCAAAAGGGGATGTAAGCATTGACTTAGATGATATTCATGAAGTGGCTCGCCCTATCGGCCAGAAGGCAGCCAAACGAAAGGCCAAGGGCAAAGAAAAATCTAACCTTGATGAGATGGCCACAGAATACAACAACATGGTTAAGAATCTTGCTGAGTTAACTAGCTTGAAAAAAGCTGAAGTTGAAGTAAAAAAAGCTACTCTTGAGGAGAAGAAGCAGAGAAATCGTCGGAAAGACTATGATATCTTAATGAAGGACAAGCCACATGACCCAAGAGCAACGTATTTCTCATTAAAAAATGTGTCAAGTAATTCGAGAGAGATGGAACTTTTAGACGTTGTATTATCTGTTTTAATCATCTTTGTATTTCTGTATGTTTTGATTGGATGTATTCAACTTTTAGCTTGTATTTCATTTAAGTGGTTCTTGTTCTTGTTAAATTGTTAGTCAGTCTTTCATAAAATTGTCCTTTTTCGAAATTAAATTTGTAGTATGTCTTTCCACTTAAATTGTTCTTTGTATTTGACAGGTGTATTGTCTGTTAAACAATATGACTAATCAATTTGCTGGTCAAAATAAAATCAGAAGATAAGATATGATTCTGAAAAGTTAATCAATTTCCTGACACAAATAAGCATGTCAGAAGATAAGACATAAGCTGTGGCACGTTTATCAATTTGATAACTCAATTAATGTGTGAGAAAATAAATTATGGGTAATGGATGACAGATATATGCAATAGTTATGTATAATAATCAATTTGCTTGTCAAAATAAACATGTCAGAAGATAAGATATGGCTATCAAAAGTTAATTGATTTGCTGGCACAAATAGGCATGTCAGAAGATAAGGCATGGGTTGTGGCACGTTTATCAATTTGATAACTCAATTAATGTGTCAGAAAATAAATATGGATCATGAATGACAACTATATACAATAGTTGTCTATTATAATCAATTTGCTGGTCAAAATAAATATGTCTGAAGATAAAATATGGCTATCAAAAGTTAATCGATTTGCTGGCACAAAAAAAAAACATGTCAGAAGATAAGGCACCGGTTGTGGCACGCTTATCAATGTGATAACTCAACTAATGGTCAATATACATATACATTGATGTCTATATATTAACAGCAAACTCACATATTTTTTCTCATTCTTCAAATCATAGTTACACACTTTATATTCAATTAGAATCCTAAAAAAATGTCTCAAAATTCATATAGATCCGAGTCTAATTCATCATCATCAACCGATAGTGAAGATGGTGATGACACTAACGATTTAGAAGTTGAAATGATTTCATCAATCGTTCAACGGAGCCACGAGTTACTTCAAGCATACCAACATGAAATTGAAGTTCGTAGAAGAAGAAGGTTCATCCAGAGAAATCGAGAAGATGGGCATAACAGACTTGTAAGTGATTATTTCTCTGACCATCCAGTCTACCCGGGTCATATATTTCGTAGGCGTTTCCGTATGAGAAGAGAATTATTCCTTCGAATTGTCAATGCACTTCAGACACGATCATCATATTTCCAGCAAAACACCGATGCAGCAGGAAGACAAAGTTTGTCACCACTTCAAAAATGCACAACAGTCATTCGTCAGTTAGCTTATAGAGTCCCAGCTGACCACCTTGATGAGTATTTACGTATGGGTGAGTCAACTGCTATCAAATGTCTTTTTAAATTTTGTGAAAGTGTGGTTGAAATTTTCGGTGATGAATATTTGAGAAGACCGAATAGTAGCGATGTTCAAAGGCTCCTCCAAATGCATGAAGAAAATCATGGTTTTCCAGGTATGCTTGGAAGCCTTGATTGTATGCATTGGGAATGAAAAAATTGTCCAGTTGCTTGGAAAGGTCAATTCACAAGAGGGCATGGGTCTCCTACGATTGTCCTTGAAGCGGTTGCTTCATACGATTTGTGGATATGGCATGCCTTTTTTGGTGTTGCAGGATCACGTAACGATATCAATGTTTTGTATGAATCTTCTCTATTTAATAATGTGTTGCAAGGAAATGCACCAAACATTCATTTTACTGTCAACGACACGCAATATGCAAATGGGTATTATCTTAGAGATGGAATATATCCAGAATGGGCTACGTTCGTAAAGTCTTTTTCTTGCCCGTCAGATCCTAAAAGAAAGTTATTTAAAGAAAAACAAGAAGCTGCTCGAAAGGATGTGGAAAGAGCATTTGGAGTGCTTCAGTCTCGATGGGCAATTGTAAGAGGTCCTGCTCGATTTTGGTATGGAAGAAAACTGAAATTTGTTATGTTGACATGCATTATACTACACAATATGATTGTTGAAAATGAAGGAGTTGTAGTAACACATTGGCACAATGACGAGGATGAAGAGCCCGCACAACCTGTCGAGGGTTCAAATCGAGAATTTCAAAATTATATCCGTAGAAGTTCAGAGATACGAGATAACACAGTGCATCATCAACTTCGTGCCGATTTAGTTGAGCATATTTGGACTCATTTTGCCAACAACTAAATAAAATATTTTTTTTGTAATTGTACTATTTTTTTCTCGTGTAATTTGGTCTTGTACTGTTTTTTTATTTTAATGCATTTAATATTTATTTTTATAATTAAGAGTATTAAAATTTATTTTTATTGTGGATAGAATATAAAAAATTATATTAAATGAGTGGATAATGGGTCCCACATATGTATTTAAATGAATGGGTATGAATGTGGGTGTGCGTTTAAATGGAGAGAGATTTAGTGAAAATATGATGTGAATGAGAGAGAACATAACTTTTTGATTAAATGAATGGAAAAAAAAAATACCAATGTGCTATTGTCGTTGGAAAAAAATAGCTCTAAATAAAAAAAAAAAAAAAAAAAAAAAAANNNAAAAAAAAAAAAAAAAAAAAAAAAAAACCATTTTGAACATATTTATTTGAATCAAAACATACTAAACGGTGTCAATTATTAATTTCGATTTCAATCAACCAGAAGCCAGACAGATTCTGGAGGAAGAAGACGGTTACATTCTGCGGAGGTCGTTTACCGTATCAGCTAACCGGCACCAGCTTCACCACCGCAATGGTAACAGTTTCCATATCCAATATGCTTCTGTATGAAACTGCCGATAGCCAGACTTGGTTGTTTGTCCAATCGATTAGATCCTTGCAATATTATCTCTCAATGAATAATATAATATCCGCCAGACATGAAATTCTTTCTATTAACAGATCCTTTGCCGAGTTCTCCAACATTAGTTCAACCCTTACTGATTAAATCATTTGGGAATCGAACCCACCATATAAATGTCTTATCATTAGATCCTTTGCCTCTTCTTGTTTCAGATTCACTTTGTTCTTCTCATCAGCAGACAAGGCAAAGTCAGGTTGACAAAATGGTACTCACCTTATTCTCAAAAGGAGAGAACGAAGGTAAAGTTTTATCCAATATCATGTAAGGTGTGTGTGTGTGTGTGTGTGTGTGTGTGTGTGT